CATTCACCTCACACACATAAAGAAGCAAAAAACCGTAGGTAGACTACAAGTTCCTGCTATGTTTATTGCACAGGAGTCTTGAAAAAGGAGGGATTTGAAAGCACATCCACAGAATTCTGTGAGCCTCCTGAGCTCCTGCTTGCAAATCGAGATGTTGATAACAGAGGTGACGCTACAACCTGTCCCTCTTCACCCTGTGTGGCTGCCCAGAGCCCCCAGCTCCTCGTCGAGGAGCGGGCTGGTAGTGCTCAGAGAGCGAGGGGCTATTTTTTGTGTGTCAGCCAAACAAACCCATCAACTGACCCCCTTCAATGCTGCCTCAGACTTGCCGACAGGAGTCACCGAGATGAAGGAAAGCCAAACGCAAGACTGCATCAAGAAGGACTGCCCGGAGGTGCGGCAGCCTGGAGTGGCTGCCGAGGCCGGTGCCGGGTGCGGATGGAGGCGCCCGGTGCGGCTCCGGACTCCGCTCCGTGCCGGCTCTGCCTTGCCACTGCTGCCTCTCGCAATGAAAATGCGGAGACCGAAGGTGAGGTTCCTCTGTGCGTGCCCCTAATGGCACCGGGCAGGGGAGGCACAAGCCGTCCCTGCTGATGCTGCTGGGAGGGGTCTTGTGCTTCTTCACTGCTGCCCTGCAGAAGAAGAGAAGGAGGAGCCGAGCGCTAATCGGGGGCACAGCGGAGCCTTATTTTAGCCCTGAGAAAGGCGGAGGGGGGGAGATGTAACTTTGCCCGCAACCCTGAAGAATTGCGTAGCTTGAAAAAACGGTGAGTTGCGGAGCCCGCTGAGCACAGCAAGCCCTGTGTCATCTGCGAGGGCTAATGGCAAAGAAACACCGTGGAGGAGGTGAGCGTGTGCGGAAGAGTTGGAAAGGAACGACGGCGTTGTCCCTTCTCCACTCAGTGTGTCCCTGCCCCCTTGCATGGGTACATACACACAAACACACGAACAAGCACTCACAACACACACACAAAGATGCAGAAGCGGCATCAACCACCTGGAAATAAGGAAACCTAAACCTGCTGTTACTGACCCCGACCGTTCCCACTTCGGGGACAGAGCCAGCACCTCGCTGCGCCCATCCGCGCCCCACTGAGGAAAGTCATCCGCCAGTAACCCCATACCCATCACCAGTAACACTAAATCAAGTGACTAGGAAGGAAGCGGTGGGGAGGGGCCGGTGGAGCATGAAGAGAGCGGGATTGAGGTGGGAATGGGGGAGAAAGGAGACTGCAGAGGTGGCTGAAAGAAACAGGGCACTCTTTGTCCCTGCTAAATATTCCCACATGCCAGGTACCCATCACTGCAAATGGAAATGCTTTCCTTTTTCTCATCACTTCTTCTGTCAATGAGCCATTTAAAATCTCAGTGCTTCATGTTCCTTTCATTTTGAAAGCTGCCCTTGTTCCGCTTGTCACAACTGCAAGAGGGGAACGAGGGAACAACAGCAGCGGCAAAGCTTCATTTTAGCCAGGCAGACAAAAGAGCCGACCTTGGTGCTCTCTGTCTTGGAGTGAAAGTTAAACAGAAGAAGTCTTGTGGTCATTTTGCCTGATTTCCTTTCTAATTTCCTTCCACTAACATATAGCAAACTTTTTTTTTTTTTTTTTTTTGGGGGGTGGCGGGAGGTGCCAAACACAGGTGCAACTATTAGTGATTCCTCTCCTAAATCCCAGAAGGCAAAGCTCACTGATGCTGCCTAATTTTATCCCCCTCTTTTATGCTCTCTCCTTCCCTTTCGGTAAGGGAAATGACAGTGGAGGTTTCCTATCCTTAGTCCTCCAAACTTGGTTTGTATCTCCCGTGCCTCAGTGGTGCTTCTCATTTCTCCTATGGCGCGGAGTGAGGGAGAGGGGGAAGGAGCTTTCTGGGTGTCTCATACATGTAAAGGGAAGAGCACAGGATTCATGACCCCATGTAGCTGGCCAAGAATCACTCTACTTGGCCTTTTGTAAGGGTTGGGTTGTGGATTTGTTTGTTTGTTCTAATGCCTTCTGTGCCTTCTCAATTTCCAATAGGGCCATTTCTTTGCTTTTTTACTCCATGTGTATTCAAGGAAGATTTTGTGGGAGATTGTTCCAGGGCATGATGAGATATTGTGTAAGCAAGGTTTTCACTGAAGGAAGTCCAACTCCTTTTTACTTTAGCTCTTCATTTCACTCCTTTCTCAGAGGGTCTGAAAATTTCCTTCTCTCCCTCTTCTGCTACTTTATTCTCCCTTTTCTAACCCCTTCCAAGTATTGTTTGCAAGGTTCCAAAGAGGCACAAATTTATAGATAAATGTGAAGGGTTGATGGTTTTTTGTGGTTTTTTTGTTTGTTTGTTTTGGTTTTTTCTATTAATACATCCCAGAAGTGCTTAATAATCAGATATGAGCATGGTTTCTTAAGCATTCGGGGATAGTCTGACACTTGTAACAGCAGGAGAGCTGTGGATCGAGACTGGAGAAAGGGTGACAGGACAATGATAAAAGTAGGAAGGGCCTGAGGGACAGATATCTAGCAAAGCTGTGGAAGTGATCTGGATGACAGGGATGTCAGCAACAGTTTGAGTGTTATATGATGGGGTGCTGTAGACCAGCAGAAGTGTTTAAGCAAGGAAGGGTATGGGCTAGAGCTTGTGGAAGTGAGGTGTGGTAAAAAGGTCTTGCCAGGCAATGGTAAAGCAGATGTAGGATCTGGGGAGTCATCTTGCTCCCAACATCAAGAAAATGGGCAGGTATTCATTCACTGTCTGCCTTTGCTTTCTGGAGGCACAAGTGTGTGCTGAGACAAAGGGAATGTGGATCGAAGTAAAATGCTTTCATTCACGGGAGTGGAGAACTAAATATAAATGCCCAGAATAGATGCAGTGCTGCAATGAGTCTAAGCCAGCTCTATGGAGCTTGGCTGCCTGAAGGAAACCACATCCAGAATGTAAAATGTGACCTACAGGGTCTGCAGTTTCTGGGAGAACGGTCCCTTTCTGAAGGAAGTCTATGAAAACTGCTCTGGTCAGCACCTCGTAAGATTAGGCCATGACAACATGGAGGAAGAGAAAGGGCCAGTTTTGCAAAGCCCGGTTTTTTCCTCTTTTTCTTGGGCTCTTTCTGGTGCTTCATCCCAGCTTTTGCCCTCAGTGCCCAGCGTTTTTTTCCTTTCCCCACCTCCAAGGGCAAGCGAGGCGGCTCTCAACAGGTGCTGGGGAAGCCGCTCCGCTCCCGCGGCAGCGCCAGCCCGTCCCTCGGTCGGATGCTGCCGCCCTGCGATTCTCGCTCACAAAGCAGCCGCCTCGGAGCGGCGCCGGAGCCCCCGCTCGCCCCCGCACCGCGCCCGCGGGGCGCCGCGGAGCGCACGGCGCGCCGGGCCGGCCGCCAGCCCGGGGCTGACGAACCCTGGCACCCGGCACCGAGACCGCGCTAATGGCAGGGGGCGAAACAGGGAAAAGAAGTACCCCTAAAGCCCCGGGTCTGCGCTCACAGCAAAGCATCTCCAGACCGGGGCAGAGCGCCGGGAGCGGCTCCCTTCAATAGATGCGAACAGAGAAAATGTGCCTATAATTAAAATGTGCATAAACGTCGCAGGTAAGCCCCCTTCCCCTTGGATACCCCACGTCAGGATAACGTGGGATGAGGTAAAAGGCCCTCGACAGCCCCCTCCCCATGAAACGCGAAATGCCTTTTCCACGCGATGCAAATAGGGGGACAAGCAGCTGCAAAGCTCTACAATAAACTGTTTCATCCAAGCCAGAGTCAGCTCGGGAAGGCACGCCTTTGAATGCCACCCCCCCAAAACATCTTCTTCCCACCCATGCAGGCAACCTCTGTAGGCGATAACCAAGTCTAAAAACTCGGAGAGGATCGATAATGTCTACTAAATATTCTGGAAGTGTATGTGTGGCGGGAGGAGGGATGAGGATGAGGAGGGGGATAAAAGGGTGATTAATCGGATATTAATCACTGGTCACAAACAAGGGGAGATTATTTCGGGTAGGCAGCCGACTGTAGGGAGTTGCAGAATAGATCCTTTTACTGAAGGCACGCGTGATGGGATCGGCACTCCACTGTTTAGCGATGCCTGTGTAATTCTGCAGGTGCACATTATTCAAGCCACATATTTCTTCTTTTTTTTCTGTGTATAGCATTTCCCTTAACTGTCTGCAAGCACAGACTTAGTGGAGATATTTATGCCGCTAACTAGACATTTCCTTTTTGCTCTCTTTTCACGAACACAGAAGCAAGAAAAAAGCAAAATAGCCCCTGCCACGAAAAAAAAAAAAAAAAAAAAAAAAGAGAGAGACAAAAAGCCCAAGCCAGAACCCCTCACATACATCAGGAAAAAAGGGACCAAAGGAGGGAAGAGAAAAGGTGTCGATCTCTGCACTCAGCGACAGACCATGCCTTCAAGACTGAATTGCCAACGCACCTTTGCGATAGCCTGGCAGCCCTGCATGCGTACAGACAGCCGACCGTGAAGCGCATTTCGGGCTGCGAGACGGCTACGCATACGCTGGGCTCCTTCGTAACTTTCCCCACGCAACGGGTTAAACTAATAAGTGCATCGATACAGGCATTCCCGCAAAGAGCCCGCTGCTCGACCGAAAACCAGAATTGTAGGTAATCCCCCCACCATCCCGCACTATCATCATCGTCACCTTAAAAAAGTCATCCGGTGGGATTTGTTTGAATATCCACTAGTTAGAGGCTATATGAACCAACTCACGTCTCCGTTTGAGCATACTGCAAGAATATTTATTGAGCCTCAGCTCAGTCACTGCATTGAACGCCAGCCCTGGCAAGCAAATACATTTTCTATCTCTGAGGAGAGCTCTGAATCAACTCCTTCTTTCCTCCCCGCTTTAGCGATCGTTTATATATTTCCATTGCAAAGTACCCAGGATAAAAATATAAAGTAAGAAATAAAAATATTTTTAAATGCACCTTAGTGTAAGGCGAGAGCTTGCAACACCCTGACCGAAAGCAAATGGACCCCTAAAAATATACCCCTCAAATACTACCCTACCTTTCACACACGAAACCATCAATAAAAAGACGAGGTTCCAAAATGTAAATCCACTTTTAATCTCCATTTTCTTCACCAGGATGAAGTCCAGCCGGCCACATTTAGTACATCCCCTTTCCCAAAAGTCTGCTAATTTCGATTCCTTTGCACGAATTTCCCCTCTGCAGATCCCTTTCATATTATTCTTGAGAGCTCCTAATTCCTATTCCTCGGCCAGGCGCAGCGGAGTTGTTGCTGTTGATGGTGCGCGGTCACAGCTCGGAGTGAATGGTGTTTCTGGGATACCACAGCAACCTTGACGAGGACTCAACCATCTCTCCAACGGGGGCACAAAGTCTCAGCTACTCTCGATCGTGTCTTTTCCTTCCCCCCACCCCCCCGCTACCCCAACTCCCTGCACAGCCGAAACCCACCACAATCCTGGCTCCTTACAGCATCCACCGGGAGCCACGGGAGAGCACCTCAACGCTCAGACGCCCTCATCAATAAACTCCAAACAATATTTGCAGCCGAGACTCTTCCCCCACCCCCTCGTTCCCTCAAGAGGATCAGTTCTGCCTGGGAGAGCGACTCGGGAGATAACGGAGTGGCGGGGCCCCCCCCCCCCCTCGCGCCCGGAGGAGCCTGGGGCGGCCGGGCTCGCCCATCCCGATAGCTGCTGTCTCGTTATTAACCACGCACGTGCGGTGCCCGGGGCTGCCACGGCCGCACAGCCCCGCACCGCCCGGCCCTCCCGCGCCCTCGGGCACACACCCGGGGGGCGCAGGCTGATGGCTCTGCGGGGGGACGTTAATTACAGGCCGGGCGCGGAGGGGAGAAGGGGCGGGGGTGGCGGGCACAGCCTCGCTGCCTCTGCGCGCAGCTGAGGGGGCTCTTTGCCGCGGCGGGCGGGGTACGGGGGCCCGGCACTGGGGCTCCACGGATAGGGCGGCGCCTCCGGCGGCTCCCGGCGGGCCGGGCCGGGCCGGGCCGGGCGGGGAGCGGGGGCGGCGCGGCCGCGGCTCCACCAGAAGAGCGATGGCGCCACCTACCGGCTGCGGCGCCGCGCCGCCGGGGCCGCTCAGAGGGGGCGGGGGCGCCGCTGGCGGGGGGGGGGGGTCCCGGCAGGGGCACTCAGGGGACCCGGATCGGGGCCGCGCTGGGGGCTGCCCTGCCCTGCCCTGCCCTGCCCGCCCAGCCACGGCGCCAGGGACGCGGGCGACGGCTTCCTTCACTGAGGAGGGGGCGGGCGGGCACCGGCTGCGGTGCGGGGGCGCGCACGTGGGCGGCGGTGCGGGGGTGTTGTCCCGCGTGTGCGGGGGCGGTGCTGGTGGATTTCTGTGCCTGAGGGGATGAGCGCTGTGCTGGGCCCCGTGGTGTGGATGCATTTGCCAGGGCCTCGTCTGTCGGTGCGTGCGGGGGAGGTTTCCTGGGGGCGGGAGAGTGTGTGTTTGGGTGCGCGTGTGCCCGTGAAGGTTTTGCGCTGGCACGTGTGTCTGAGTGAGCTTGTGCGTGAGCATGTGTGCGTGTGTGTGAGCATGTGTGCGTGTGTGTGAGCATGTGTGTGTGTGTGTGTGTGTGTGTGAGCATGTGTGTGTGTGTGTGTGTGTGTGTGAGCATATGTGTGCGTGTGTGTGAGCATGTGTGTGTGTGAGCAAATGTGTGTGTGTGCTCGCGTTCCTGCCGTGCTGAGTGTGGATGCACGTGTGTGCACGTGTGGTGTGCGTGTGCCTCTGTGTGCGTGTAGTTGCGTGATGCTGTGCATGTGAGGGCGGGTGTGTACACACACGTGTTTTGTGTGCGTTTGCATGTGTGTGCGGGTGAGTGTGAATGGATCCCTTCCAGTGCATCTGTGTATACATGTATTCTGTGTGTGTATATATGTGTTCTCACACATCTACGCCTCTGTGACATGCTTTTGTCTTGCCTTTGTGTGTGTGCATGGGTTCATACACACAGGCTTCCATACAAGTTTCTGTGTGCATGTGTGCAGATGTGCATATGTGTGAATGCATGAGTATAGTCTGAAGAGTGAGTGTGTGAGATGGGAAATTTTGGCAGCCAGTCACAAAGCATGAATTTTTGCAGTTGTGTCCACCCAGAGATTTGCATTTCCCTATGCTGAACAGTGTGTGTATGGAAATTGTATGTGTGTGAAGTGCAGTTGTGGAAAGATGTGTCCTGAGTGGGAACTGTTTTCAGTGTGAATGTGATGTGAGGTGTAGGTGCGTGTATGAATTTGTATGAACCCCTACTTTTACGGGTTATATGATACATGCAGTAGTATCACAACATCATAAGTAATAGTATTGAAGAAATGTGAAGAGGTAATGATTCACCCTTTACTCCCAAAGCACAGTGCAAAAGAGGAAGTTTGTATAGTTTTAAGTCTGCTCCCATGTGGGTATCAGAGGGAGCAGTATGTGCCCACCTTCCACCTCTACTTTGAACCATACCGTCTTTTAATGAGGCCAGCAGCAGTTCACAGACTGTGGCTCTGCATATGGCTGGCTGAACTCACCTCTGTAACTGTAAGACTGCATGTAGTTGTTGTGAGAAAAGAATAGCTGCAAGTGCTGACACTAACCAGCCCCATCGGATCCATACAGGTTTGTTTACTGGGGAAAAGCAGAGGTATATATTTCACAGCCTTCTGTACTGTCTACAGCCTTCTCTTGCAGACACATAAGTCTTGGAGTGTGACTGTTGTAATTGAAACTTGGCGGGCCTCCTCCCTTCTTCTACAGCAGCATAAGAATGTGTTCACACGAGTGATGTGAACCTTGTACTGGTGTTAAAAGTAATGCCATGTTAGGATCAGCTTTCTGACAAAATTTCGATAGTCCCTGGTTTAGGTAAAGTGGGATGGATGAAAATCACTCTGTTCTAAACCTGCCTACTGTGTTCATTAATTCTGGTAATATCTGTTTACGGTATACATGTATTTACATTAATTCATGTATAAGTGCATGTAGCTGGAGTCTGTTTTTTCAAGAGAAATTCAGAACTGGAGACCTGTGCTTTCAGAACATCATAGATGGCCATGCCTCTGGTATTCATCCTGTTTTGTATGAGACTGGAACAAAATTCTGCCCCTGTTCCCCCAAGAACACTTTCCAGTTGTGTAATTCAAAATCCCCCTTTGGGTAAATACAGGTATAGAGGATAAGAAATCGATATTGAAGACAGACTTATTATTTCTAATTCATACATTGCATTCCTCAATATTTCAATAACTGACTTATTTAAAGGGCTCATTTTAATAACATTAGAAGTCATGTCTCTTTGACATCCAGCAAGATTTATAATGTGTGTTATCTGTATTACTTTTGAAAATGAAACTTTGGCGCATCAGATGTTAAAACGTGAATGAAGAAATGCTTACAATTAAAAATGGGATGCCCAAGGATTTTTTGTGGTGAAATTCCTGCTAATTTTCAAAGACCATTACATTTCCAAGTAATTTAAATGCATTTTAAAAATAGCACTTCAGCTACTAAAGCAAGTGTTGGACACATTTTGGTAGTATTAATGTTAGGGACTCATTTGAATTTCTTTATAGAACACTCCCTACCACAAGCCTCCACTACTGTAATGTTGCATTTTTCTTGTAATTGATTTGTTGTTACATATTAGCATCCCATAACCTTTTGAGTGATTCTGGGTTCAAGCTGTAGATTATGTTATGTGCTTCATATTGTGTCCTCTTCCTCTTCCCTCTTACTTTTCCTTTCTGCCTTCCTTCTTTCTCTTCCCTCCTCCTCTCCTTCCTCCCCTCCATTTCTTCTTTCATTCCTGCCCTTCTCTTCTTTCTCTCTTTCCTTCTTGTTCTCTCTTATGCTGCTTTTCTTCCTCTCTTAGTTTTTACTTTCTCTCCCTCATTCTTTTTATTTTTCACTCACTTTTTTTTTTTTCCACTTTGTCCTCTATCCTTTGTCTCTTTCCCCTCTTTTGGCATGGTCAAGCTTATTGATCATTTGGGTATCAGTCAAGGATGAAAGTGACTTGGCAAGGACCATTAAGTCAATCACTATGATTAAATACTCCCAAGAATTTTAAAATGTGCTGAAATCAGAACTAGGCAGATACTTAACTGTCTGACCTGTCAGGCACATGAACATCAACACTGCTAGTGGAAGATGTGTATCACAGATCTGACAGTGATGGTGCTCCTTCATGCTATTATTATTGGATGTTTCATAAGCTGTGATGCCTTAGTTAAACTATCTATAAGCAGGCACTCTTTCCTCAGAATCCCTAAGAAAGAAATACAACAAAATAGTGCTATGGAATAATGTGTTACTATTGGTATTCACATTTTCCCCCTTCACAGTTCCTTGTTCACTTTGCCAAGGCAGATCAAATTTAAGTTTGATAATTACATTAGAAATTCCTCCTACATTTTCAGGTGCATTTGTTATTCTTCATTCACTGTCATATACTTTTGTGTAAGGTAGCTGTATTTTGTTAAATAGCTCCTACATTTAGCTCCCAGGTAACTTCACACTCTAATTGTAGATAAATGGATTGCTTTGCTTTAAGAAATGCAGTGGGGTCTTCTGTGGCAAATAATACTTTGAATAATATGGTACACAGTGCTTGCAAGCACAGACAGCTTCTGTAGGCATGTGTAGGCATGTGTATAGCATATAGGCAGTGATATTTAAAATGAGTATTTGACTTGGGATAGAAACCTCATTCACTCATAGCACATAATTCTTTTGAACATCCTGAGCTAATGTAGAATGTAGAATATTCAGAATTTCTGTAATTTAGTCCATCTGGTTATAAACTCCAGTATGATTATAAGTCCTAACTCTGACCCTGAACTGACTGCTTGTCTATCAGTGAGACAGAACACTCTTTTCTTACCTTGAAAACAGTAGGAGAGTGTTACAGATGTTCTGCAAACTTCCATTTTTTCTTGCTTTTCAACAGGTTTTGGAGCCCCTCGGGGAAGGTTACAAAGAGGAGGACATGATTGTACCACCCTCACTTCAGCGTCTTTACTCAGAGTAGATTAGTTTTCCTTCATGAAACAGATAATGAAGTTCGGTTGGAAAAGAGCGAGGTGGAAATTATTTCACAAGTATTGGGGTACTAACATGTTGTTGTTACTGCAACATATTCACAGTACAGGATACAGCCATGGCATGAATATTAAGTAAAATACAACCCAAACAATTGAAAAATGCATTAAAGCAAATACAGGGATGGAAATAGCTGGAGGGGAAAGTGCCATAATACTGACCTTCTGTCTAGTTAAGTTCTCACAAGTAAGGTCGTTAAGTTACCTCTAACACAAAATGTCTCTGTTCAAGGAAACTGAATAGCAGCAACATTCAAGAGCACCCACTTCAATCCATAATAATAATAAAATAAAATAATAATAAAAAGAAAAAAAATAATAATAATAAAAAAGAATGTTTCTTTCAGATGCACTGTTCACAGAGAGACAGAGATCATATGTTTCAGTATCACAATTAGCTGTGATTTTGTTAATTCCCTGTTAAATGTTCCTTGTATTCTGCTAGAGGCCACAGCTGAAATCTGTTTGAAGACAGGAGAGAGAATGCAATTTTATTTTATGCAAACATTCTTGATTTAGATGTTGTACCATATAACACTTAGTTTTCAAGTGGAATCCAAGGAATTAGTTTTGGTCTACTGCTACCAGATTTTGCTTATCTTAGTGAGTAAGTTTATTGTATTGTAACAGTCATGATCAGTCAAGCTGACCTTGGTGTGTAGTTCTGTTTTTGTCTGAGATTTAGACAACTGTCATTCTCAGCAAAAGCTGTCACCACTATATTGTTCTTCCATTTCT